ATTGAAACGGATGGCCGGAGAAAGTCTCCATGAAACTAACCTAGTGCTATAGAACATAGYTAGTTAGACTGACTTATTAACCACGTTCTACAGGAGCTATTTCTAAATTGGGTTCTTCTAAATATCTGTGTTTATATCTTGAATCTTTTTGGGCAAATTCATAATGCTCTTTTTTGTGAGTTTAMGATAATGCGCGTYGAAGTTCTTCGCTTTGATGAAAGCGTGGCTTTGCTTACACAGTTATAAATTCTTCTGTTTTTACTTCTACGCCAGCTAATTTTGAAACCATAGCCCTTATATTTTATTTTAAAACTATTTTCAACATTTAGCGTCCACAGTCTACAAATACATACAAGTCTTATTATAGTTTTCTAAACTCAACAGAAACTGCAAATGAATACAAAGAAAGTTGATGCGAACAGCTCCGTTTCACTGGTCTTCAATTTCCTGGTCTAGTTTAAACAATGTTTTTTTAATACCTTTGAAATGGAATTAGAAACCCGCACAAAAAATGTCGCAAAAATAATATGAGATTTAGAGGAACATTCATTTCACTCGAACAAATCAATCAAATAAAGCTATCTTTTTGGTGTTTTCACTTTTCGTTTGGGTCAGTGTTTTCTAAACAAACACRGTTGATTTTTTTTATGAACTGATCGTAAGCAACTTCAACGATCATGTTCCATTTGAAAGCCACACCCATAGAACTTGACTGCGTTCTTAATGATGTAATTTATATTAGTGGTCTTGACTTGACCTTGTAGTTAACTAAGTACCAGTGATATAAACTAACTTCACTTTKAAAGGAACTGATGATTTTGGTTTACACAATAAATTTCCGTAAAAAAAAAAATAAGTGAAACAACTTATTGACGTTTTGGACGTTAATCCTTGTCTTCACTCCGACGAAATGTCGAAATGTCAGTAAATTATTTCACCTACTTTTTTACGGTGTTAAATTTATCTTTTTACACAACTGTTTCTTTAGAAACACCGACGCAGCTCACACTAGTTTACGGCTAGTTCCCACCGTTTAAACAGATAACCGAAATAAAATGAGAAAAGAAGTAAACTATCTTTTAATAGCGTAGCCTTGTACATCACCCTAATTCTTCATTGTTTCTACTTTAATCTAAATAGGGTCTAATCAAACCTTTTCTTTTTTGAAAACAGAAACAAACATAAGTTAAATTGGAAGCTATGAATCCAATCTATAATTACTATAAGCATATGATCCAACCCACGACGAAACTGCACTATTAGCTTAGAATCCATAGACGCGCGTATCATTTCAAAAAGCCGTTATATATTCACAAACGTCTGATAAGATAAAGTCAAAATCTAGACATAGATAGATTCAAAATCAAGCAAGGAATTACATGGTAATATATTGCTTTATTGATGCAAAAAAAAAACAAGTAATAAAACGTCCATGAAATGGAGTCTATAAGGACTGAAGGCGTTAAGCACAGACGCAAAATCAAAGTCATGAGGTTGCAGTCAACTAAATGACCACAAATGAAAACAAARGATTAATGTTCACTAGCTACAATTGTAGAAAGGTATATAAGTCTAAGACTTCGCATAAAAATGATACGTTTTTGAACCGTTCTCCGTTAATGGCTAAAAACTAAAAAAAACAACAACAAACAAACAAACATAAAATACTCAATTTTCAGTGTAATTTTACTTAGGAGGAGCTGCAGGGCTAGAGGTTAGAGCGCGAAACTGGCCAGAAAGCAGGGATATAAGAGGTCAATGCACTCAAAAGAATACAATGCGACCGAAGTCTCGCCAACAGTAAAAAACATGACAAAAAGGTACGTCCGTAGCAAGTTATTTCTTTGAAATTGGTCAGATTGTGTCTTTGAATTTTAAAATTTTTATCAAAAATAAATCAATTTTCTGAAAAATCGAGTTGTTGTGAAAACAGTGCATATGTTAATTAGCCTGTCAATCACTAATTACTTATAAAATACAATCCGAAGATATTATAGTATAGGTATATGATTGCTTTAGAAGTTGGTCAAATTTTAAAATTAATTGCTTGAAAGAAAACATAGTTATGAGTGGAACATAAAATAACTGATTTGACATTTTACAAATGATGATCCCCTTAACGGTTGGTTTATTTTGTTTTCCATGGTCGGCAGGAAAACAAAAAAATCAGGCACCTAAACAGGGATCATTCACACACACAAAGACTATATATTGCAGAATTTATTTTTTGTGTTTATTGCTCTTTCTACCGCAACTATACGTTATTTCCTACTTGAACGACCCATTTTATCATGAGAAATAGTTTAATATTCCGTCGACCGTAAAATCTAGATTAAAGTAGTAGTAAAGGCTCTAGAAAGAAAATAACAACCTAGTTTGTAATAGTCAATATCGTGAACAACAAAACAATGTCATTGATGACTAATTCTAACTATTAGTTTGACTATTTTTTCGCAGTGGAAACCTGACCGCTCAGTCACAGAAGTCAACAACAAGCTAATTATTTACTTGTGTTCTTTGTCTAACAGGGCGGTTTTCATAAAACCCTGAAATACAATTTAGCGGTATACACTTTATTATTCTTTATTTTGCTCGTTTTTCTTTATCATTACGGTGTATCAATCTTCATTACTCTTAGGGGTAAAAATGACTTCCAAACGTCTGATATTGGCGTTAGTAACAGGGGACCTATCCATATTTCGTACACATGGAGGTGAACCATGAACAAGGTCTAGTGTTCAGGCACTGTTTGATAGRAACAATGATTAATTTGCCAATTTGATGAGCTTATTTCATCTGATAACCATAAATAATGTATTTATGTCGGAAATGACTAGAATTTCCAAAGACAAAACCAAATAAACTCCCTCGAAATGAAATTCGAACTTTTTAAGTTATTCCTTTAAGATTTAAAGGAAAAGAAAAGTGAAACTAATAATATAATTGTGCTAAAGTTTYATCATTATTTGAAAAATACTTTACTAATCGATCATTAGCTTCTGGAGGATTGTGGGTAATTTGAGGGCGGCCATATTGGATTGCACAAGRSTTGTTTACATCCTAAAAGGTTGTTTGAAGCAATTKTTGCCGTAGTAAACTTATTGATTTATATTTTTTTACAATTAATAATCATAATTGTACTTAGAAAAGCGATAATATTTTCAAAACAAACACATACAAGAAAGAATTTTAAAGCGAATGCCCTCTGACTTTTGGGGCTTTCTAAGAATACCCGCCATAATAGACACAGCAGGGTTTCTCCTTTCTSTCTTTTTAGAAAAAATGCTTTGTTATTCTTTGYATTGTTGCCCTGAAATTGARACTCAGTTGGAGAATTCCTCAGTGGTTATGACTTTATGCGTTCTCTGATCTCGGACGGCAAATGTGCAATATTTAGAACAGAATTATGGGTAATTTTCATGGACGCCATATTGGAAAAGTTGTTGTTGCTCGAAATAATGATGTTTTCTGAAAAA